GTCCCCTCAGGGAAAAGGGCGGCCTACAAATGCAAATAAACCTAAACCTAAACCTAGCGGGTCTAAAAAGGTCTTAAAAGTCACCAAGGTTGGATACGCTGGTATAGAGGAATGGATGAATATGCCCCAGCCAATCTAAGTAAAATACTTACATTGGGTGCGTTTATATCCCACCTTCAACTCCCAATAATTCTCTATGCCTCCTGGAGAATTCTGGGAGTTGAAGTTTACATGTCTTAAAGTCAACAAGGTTGGACAATTCTATAGAGAAATGGAATATATCCCAGCAATTATAATTAAAATACATTTATAGGTTGCATTTATATCCCAGCTTTCCGCTATCCTTCCCTCAGTCTGCCGCCTATTGCAAGTATCCACCCATTTCCTCTGAGATCCGAGCACATGGCTTTGATCCTTTCGTTCCATCCTCACAACCACCCTGGGAGGTAGGTTAGGAGAGCAAGTGGGGACTATTTGCAGAGCTACCCTTGGGGGTGGGGGGGGGATATGTGGCTTTCCTTCCATTACTGATCATCTTAAAATTCTAGCCATTAGTGGGAGGCACAGGTTTTTGCTAGAAATGTTGCAAGTGTGTATGTGTGTAATTGCAGTGCATCGTGGAAAAGGAAGCCATAGTCTGTTCGATCAAGGCATGGAATTAAGGTGTGGCACAGAGGTGCACAGAAGCCTGATCAGGAGACCTGGGATTTTTCCAAATGCTGGGGTGGGGTGGGGTGGGGGTGAGTTGTTGGTGCAGCCCTACAACTAGGATTTGAGGCTGCTTCTTTCAGGCATCGTAGCACAGTCCCTCTGAGCACATAGAGTGGCCTATTCCCACCACCACCACCACCTCCTCCTCCTTGCCTTCAGGGATCCTGTGTAAAGCTTTTGCCAAATGACTGGAGGGCAAAATGCTACTTAGTATTTGTAGTGAATCCTCTTTGTTGCAAACAAAAGGCTTTGAAGTCGGGTACAAAGTTCTCAGCCAAGTTCTCAAAAACTGCGATTCCGCAGGTTGTTTTCTGCCCTGGGAAGCAACAGCAAAGGGACACAGCTCCACAGCTTTCGGCAGCTCAAGGGGGCTCCAAGCACATTTGCACTACTTAGGTGACCCTGAGGACACAGGCGAACCTCCAAGCGGCCTCAACGACTCTCTCAAACAGGGATCAGCAACCTTAAACACTCAAAGAACCACAAAAGTCCTAACCGGAAGCTCCTCATTCAATTCTGGAGCCGACCGGAAGTCCGGTTCCCCCACCATAGAATCTCCTCCTAGCACGGCGTCCTTTTTCCTCTAACTGAAAGCCCTATCAATTGTGGAGCCGACCGGAAAACCCGCCCCTTGCCATAGAGCTGTGATGGTGAACCCGTGGCATGCATGCCACAGGTGGCACACAGAGCCATATTTCCTGGCACGCCGGCCATCAGTTCCAGCTGATTTTTGCCCTTCTGGAGGGCCCAGCGAGGCCGTTTTCACCCTCCCCAGGCTTCAGGAAAGCCTTTGGAGCCTTGGAAGGGGTTGTGCATGCATGGGCGGGGAGGACGCGTACCCACGCAATTTTGGCATGCCGTAAGAAAAAGGGTCGTCATCACTGCCATAGAGTCTCCTCCTGGTGCATCCTGTTTCCCCTCCCCAATTGGAAGCTCCTCTCAAAATTGTGGTGCCAACTGGTGACAGGGAGCTGCAGCAGAGGGATGAAAAAGCCCACATGCGGGTCCAGAGCCACAGGTGGCTCTAAAAGGAAGCTGACCAGCTGTCTCCAAGGGATATAAATCCTTCCATTCCTCAACATCCAGTCAGAGCTGATGAAGCATCTTGGATGAGAAGCGAAACGTTTTCAAAGAGAAAAATGAAGTCTGATTGCCTCTTGAAAGCTTTGGGACAACCATGACCTGGAGGACTGAGAACCTCCATAGACCATGATCCCAGGAGTCAGCAAGGCGGGGAAACACACTCCCTGTAGTAAATTTCTTTGTGGGTTAAGGTGCGGTGTATGTAGAACCCGTCTGGAAACAGCTAGATGTGGCCAGTCTTTACTAGCTGGAGGCTACATTTTTGGGAAGGGAAGAAACCATAATGAAGTAAGTACCGTACGTGTAGTAACCACAACTGGGACCGGAATATTTAAACAAGGTAGTCATTAAGTCAGACAAGAGATGGCCTTGATTTGCAACCTTCCCCACTGACGTCGTTTTGTCAGAAGGCAGCTGAGGAGGTTGCAGATGGAGAACACATGACCCTGGGAGGCTGAACCACCGCAGATACAAGTCGAGTACCCGGATCGTGATCACTTGGTTGTGGGGAATGCTGCAATGCAGTGATGGGATTCAGCTGGTTCGCACCTATTCGAGAGAACCAGTTAGTAACTTTCTAAGCAGTTCGGAGAACCGGTTGTTGGAATAAATCTTATTTTATTTTTTCCCCACTTTACAGGGCTAATCCTGTAAGGAAGGCAGGAAGGAAACATTCTGGTGTTCTTTCTAGTCTCATCTTTATTGCCCTGCTTATAGTAACTGCTTCTCCGGTTAACCCTTATTACATTGTCACAGCTAAGGCGAAGCGCCCATCAACGCGAGTTGGCCAAGCCACATTGTCACATGACCACCGAGCTATGCCTTCCCAACTGGTTATTATAGCAGAGAACCGGTTGTTCAATTATTTGAATCCCACCACTGCTGCAATGGTTGTAAGTGTGAGGTCATAAGTCACTTTGTTAATGCCATTGTAACATTAAAGAGTTGTTGAATGAACGATTGTAAGTAGAGGACCACTTTAATAAAGCCGAGTAAGTGAGGAAACGTCACATCGTCTAAGCCAGTTTTTCTGGGTTATTTCTTTGGGGTTGGAGTAGCAGTTTATATTCTTTGATTAAGTCGAAGGTGCTGCCTTCAGGTAGGTCCTGCCTCCAAATTTTAGAAACCCACCTGGCATTGTGATCAGAAGGCAAAAATGAAACGTAGAGGCCATTACAGAAGGAGGGCTGCGTTAGTTTATGGTGGCAAAACATCTGACGGAATCTCGTAGCATATTTCCACAGGGTTGGTTTTTTATTTATTAAAAGGCATGCAGATAGTCCTCGACTTACAACAGTTCATTTAGTGAGTCTTCAAAGTTACGACGGCACTGAAAAAACGTGACTTAGGACTTTCAGTCAGGGACTTTGCAGTGTC